TGTTTTTAGAATTATAATCTACAGCTTAATTTAAATAAATTATGATAGCACAATACAATAAGACGGACCCCAGAAGGGACAACAAAAGAACAGCTGCGTCTATAAGGGAAAAATAGACAATACAAACCAATGAAAAAAAAAATCCAAAGAAAAATATTTTTAAAGTTTATTTAGAAGAAAAGCATATCATTTTGGAGAATTGTGTTATTTTGTGAAATGTATATTTGTAGAGATATGAATATTTGTGTTTCTTTTTAAATGAAGGATGGGGGGTATATTTTGTAATAAACAATAGCTTTATGTAATGTCCATAACTGTCATAGTATGGCATATTTATAAACATTCTCCTTGGTGTATATTTTCCAATGTAAAGCTGTTCAAACAACAAGTAAATTGATATGATATGACCACCACCATTGGCCCTCTGACGAGGCAAATATTTGAAAAATGAAAAAAGTAAATAAAAATATTAACTTATGTTTGTTTGAGTTTAAAAAATCCGTAGAGAATCTGCTGCATTATCGGACATCAATCTTCATTCCTAGGGATTTTTAATCACAGATATCACAATTTTAATGAGCTTTAAATAAATTGTTGAATTTTATATAATTTACAATAATTTACAAATACATGAAAGTAAAACCTGAAAAAAATATCTTAGTTTGGGGAAAAAGAAATCCATTAGGCCGGTCGATAAAATCGGAGATTTGATCGAAGTTTACCTGTTAGCTGTCATAACATCGCCCAGGAGCTAAAAATCGGCAATTAAACTGTTTTAAACCAGTTTCACAAAGCAGGATTCGAAAAGAAGCACGATGTATGGGCGCCACACAAATTAACAGAAAAAACCAGTAAGGAAAGTAGTAAAGTCGGACTGGGCCGACTATATGATACCCTTCACCACTTTGGGTATATTCTACATGTGTATTCTAACATATGTAGAATATATCTGAACCCATTTCAGGGAAACTTGCCAGAGACTAATTTATATTACATCAGTAGGTTGTGTAAATCGGCCTAGCTATGGATCTTTTCACGAAGCTTAGCAACATCATTCTAGACTTAATTCAGTACGCTATGCCAAATTTCGTGCAAATCGAAAGATATATAGGGTCTTTGGTGCACCAATTACTTAAATCGGAAATGAAAATATATATGAGAGCTATATCTAAATCTGAACCGATTGTCACGAAATATTGCACACATCATTCTAGTATCAATTCAGTACGCTATGTCAAATTTCGTGCAAATCGAATGATATATAGAGACTTTGGTGCACCATTTACATAAAATCGGACGAAAATATATATGGGAGCTATATTAAAATCTGGACCGATTTTTCCCAATAAGTGACCTATACCAAATTTCACAAAAATCGGATCATAAATGCGACTTGTACTTTGTTCACAAAAATACATGGAAAGACAGACAGACGGACGGACGGGCGGGCATGCATAAATCGACTTAAAAAGTGATTCTATGCATATTCTAAAAAGGAACCATGTGTCTATCTCGTTTTTGCCAGTTACTAACATATGCACAAAGACATAATACCCTGTTCCTCAGTGTGGTGAAGGGTATAAAAATAGGATGGATCGAATATGCATCTGCGATGCCTTGGCCAAATGGACTGAGATAGACCCATTTCATAAATGGATGGTGACGGGAGATGAGAAATGGGTCACATCAAAGAGCGGTGAAGCATCTCAAACGGTGGCCAAACCAGGACTAACGGCCAGGAAGACAAACGCTAAATTCTGATCTCTACTATTCAACAACTGGACCGTTTGAAGATATCAATTGACCAGAAATGACCAACAGGAGAGGTGCCGTGTTCCACCAGGACAACACTTGATTGAGAAGTTTTAATGCATCCGCCATACATTCCGGACTTGGGACTAAGCGATTATCATATTTTTCTTGCATTGCAAAATATCTTTAGCGATAAAAACTTGCTTTTTAGGGAGGATTGTGAAAATCTACTACTAGAGTTTTTTTCCAAATAGAGAGCAGGACTTATATAAGAGAGGTATTATGAAATTACCTTTAAAATGGCAACAAATCAGCGATGCATATTCAGGCATTCCGAACCATGTTAAATTAAGTCGTGTTATAAAAATAATGCATTTCTTTTCCCCAACCTAATAATTTGAATCCCATCCACATCTGTCTCGACAACTTCTAAAGCAAATTTCAAGTATATTCAATAGTCAAAAGGTCAATTCTATAATTTTATGATTCTATAATTATATGTTAGAGAATATTTGTATGCGAAGTTTTCTTGGAATCAGTTCAGATTTAGATATAGCTACTATATATAGTTTCGTCCAATTTTATGTGAATGATACACCAAACTCCCAATATTTGTCCGATTGGGACAAAATTGTGCACAGAGTACTGTATTAGATCCAGACTGATGTCAGTGAAGTTTTGTTAAAATCGGTTCAGGTTTGAATATAGCTCCCATATATAGTTTCGTCCGATTTTTTTTTTTTTTTGGAACAATGCAACAAACACCCAATATTTGTCCGATTGATACAAAATTGTGCACAGAGTACTAAATTAGGTCCAAACTGATGTCTGCGAAGTTTTGTTAAAAACGGTTCAGATTTAAAGATAGGTCCCATATATAGTTTCGATTTTTATGAATGATTTTTTATGAATGATACACCAACCTCCCAATATTTGTCCGATTTGGAAAAAATTTAGCACAGAGTACTAAATTAGTTCCAAACTGATGTTTGTTTTGCTAAAATCGGTTCAGATTTAAATATAGGTCCCATATATAGTTACGTGCGATTTCCATACAAATTGTACACCAACGAATCCAAGTCTGCCCGTTTGACATGCAATTTTTCATGGATTTCAGAATGGTATGTGTATGGGGTTTTTCAATTGGTTCAAATATCTGTCTAGGTAGCACATTTAATTTCGGTCAATTTCATCACAACGGTCCTCCAAAGATTCAGTGTTTGTTCTATCTACAGGATATTGTAGATATTAACATATCTTGTGTGTACCCAAAGTTGTGAAGGGCATCTTATAGTAAGGAAAGATGAAAGGTCAGACGGGCCGACCTTTCATCTTTCCTTACTGGTATATAATTTCGAATTTTTATAGAAAATTTAAAGATTTATATTGAGCTTAATATGCGTCGATTTTTGGAGTCAATTTTTAAAGAATGTTTAAAGACACATTCTGTATCCCTTAAATGCGGATCTTTTTTTCTTAAATTTAGAGGTTTATTCTTTGGACGTTAAGCTTTATTATTCTAAGAGAAAATGTTCAGCCCCATTTTTTGTATATACAGCATAGTTCGGACCCATTGTATGTATATAGTACGTTCCAAGCGTTTTTTAATCGAATGAGTCGTTATTTGGCATTCCGTAAATAGAGATTTAAAAACTTCCAACAACAACTTTTAATACGGGTCCATGTTTAGACATGCAACCCCACTTAATGGTCCCGCCTGCTTTAAGGCGGTTGTAGCTGCATTTTCACGCGGAAGCGGTCTTCTTCAGTTTTTGGTATTCTGAAGTTATGAAACGCTTTTCCCACCGAGGCGACTGTATTCTGGCATACCAGGTTTCAGAAAATTTGTTTTTGTTTTCTTTTTCGCATAAAATGTGCTATAACGGTCCATATTTTAATAAGATCTGCCTAATCGAACTTAGAGGCGATGAATTTATATATTCACTCCTGGTATACATGGTAGTATATGAAGGAGTTATGAGTGATCTTTAATCTGATATAATTTATATTTATGTAAGAGGACAGGTGTGGTTTTATACTACAATTTGTAAAGGATTTAAATATTATAATATGATTTAATATTGCCTTTACACATGAAAAGACGCATAAAGTTGAATCCAGTGGTAGTTGTGTAGTGTCTAATCGACCCATTCTACTATTCTGAAAAAAGTGTCGTAAAGAATAGGGAAACATTTTCTATTCGCCAATTATTTTCCAGTACTATTTTGTCAGGATCGAAATCTGAGAAATTTATCTAGAAAATAATTTACCTCTAGTGTCTAAGTTTCTATTTCCGCACACGACGTTTATGTTATTTTACACAATCTTCCAAAACAAAAAATGATCTGAATGACATTCCTATTCGGTAAGAGAAAAATATTTGTGTTTATTAACATTGACACATTATCTCGCACCAGAATATTTAATATCTCAATACACATTTTTCTCAAGTATATTAAAACTTTTCCCTAAAGAAAAAATACCAAGTTGACAATAAAATAAAAATCCCCCCCCCCTCTCTGCATATACAAATATCATAATATTTACCTCTGCCCCACCCCACCCCACCGCTCCAATGATGAATCTCTGAAGAAGAAATCTTTAAAAAAAACGTCCCCTTTTGACATTGGTAGGCATAATAACAAAATTTTGTCACAACTATTTCATACCGAATAAACAAAAAAATGTCACAGTTCTCAGATTACATGCTTTGATTTTCCTGGCTGGCTGGCGTTCCTTCCGAATTTTTATTACAATAAATTAAGGAATCACTTAACTTGCCAAAACAATGGCTTTGATGTTACGCACTTTCAAAAAAGTTTTTTTATTCATTTTTTTTTTTTTTGCTTCTCGTGCCACTAAGTGATTGTTGTGGATAGGGGTTGGGGGGTGGTTTGCACCACGATATGACAGTTACAAGTGCAGGGCGTAGAGTATGATATCATTTTAATGAAATTCTTTGAAATTCTAATTAAAATATTTACAAACTTGTTCAAAGTTATCCGGCAGTTGGCTTTTTATAACATAATATCATAATAAAAGTATTTTGTTGTTGTTCCTGGTCGTTAGGTTGTTCATTCAATGTTTTAGTGGTTTAGTATACCAAAAAAAAAAAACATATTTACATGTATGTACGTGTGTGTATAATGTATATGACACACTTGAAATATTTGTATATATATTTTTCGAGCCAAAAATGAAAGGAAAATTTATATAATTATTGTTGTTTTTGTTTTATTTCATTACAGCGATTGTCGTGTGGTACGCGATCCCCAGACATTGAAATCAAAGGGTTATGGCTTTGTGTCCTTTGTTAAAAAATCGGTATGTATTATTTTATTTTTCTTTTCAAATTTTTATATGACTTGGCATTTAAAAAAAATTCTGGCCTCCCCTTCCCCTCCCCATATTTTTTCACATTTTCTTTATCTTTTCACTTTTTTTATTTTACAGGAAGCCGAAAGTGCCATAACGGCCATGAATGGCCAATGGTTGGGATCTCGTTCAATTAGAACCAATTGGGCTACCAGAAAACCCCCGGCAAGTAAAGGTAAGTAATAGAAGGTCATCATTATTAGTATATAAATGGACATAGGGGCCCAAAGTTTTTTTGTGAGTGCATTGTTGTGCAAATGGCGTGTATGGGAAAATTTTTCATTTTTCCATTTTCTGTTGTGATTTATTGCCCTCCTGCCATAACACTGGCAACGCCCATAATACTTCATTAATATGTAATTATCTCAAATATTTTTATGATATTTACAAAAAAAAATTGTATATTATATATGAGTTGTATATTATCATAAAAATCCTATATATTTTATTTTGTCTCTGTCTGTGTGTGTGAGTTGAACGTCTGTTCGTTCGTACACACATTCAAGTCAATTGCCCTTTTTGTCTACATTAATAATAGAACATTTATGTTTACATGCCTTACCGGTGATTGAAAGAAGTATAGATGTAATAAATAACATTTATACATTTGGGATATATGTACATACATATTATATTGTCGTTAAATATTGTCGTTAGTTAATTTATTGAGCCAATTCAAACCTGGCAGATACACAAGACTACAAAATTTCACTCAAAAACCAGATATAAAAGTTCAAAAGTCGGACGGGGCCGACTATATGATACCCTTCACCACTATAGGTATATACAACACGAATATATACATTGTCCTGTAGATAGAACAAACATATCAACTTTATAGAACCTTTGAGATATAATCAACCCAAATTATATATCTAAATCTGAACCGATTTTCACGAAACTTAACACACGTCATTCTAGAATCAATTCTGTACACCATTCCAAATTTCGTGCAAATCAAAAGATATATAGGGACTTTTGTTCACCATTTACCTTAAATCGGACGAAAATATATACGGGAGCTATATCTAAATTCTCGACTCAAATCAGTCCTCTATGCAAAATTTTGTGCAAATCGAAAGATATATAGGGACTTTTGTGTACCATTTACTTTAAATCGAACTAAACTATATATGGGAGCTATATCTGTAACTGAACCAATTTTCACGAAACTTAGCGAACATCATTCTGAACCTATTTATGCCAAATTTCGTGCAAATAGAAAGATATATAGGGGCTTTGGTGCAACGTTTACATAAAATCGGACGAAACTATATACGGCAGTTATATATACATCCGATTTTCTTCAATTTCAATAGGGTTCGTTCTCGGGCCAAATGATTGACTAGTGCCAAATTCCATCCAAATGGGATTATAAATGCGTCCTGTACTTTGTTTACAATTTAACATCTACAGACGGACAGACGTTATTATGTATTTGTGCTGATGTTTGTAACAGCCAAAAGGAATTTATGTAGACCCATGGTTTATTTTTAGAATATGCATATAATCACATTCTGAGTCGTTTTATGCAAGTTCGTTTGTGCGTCCACGTATTTTTGTGAGCAAAGTACAGGTCGCACTTATGTTTCGATATAGATGAAATTTGACTCAGGTCACTTATTTGGGCCAAGAACGAACTTTATTAAGATTGGAGAAATTCAGTTCAGATTTGGATATAGCTCTCATCAAATATTGGGAGCATTTCTCTCATTTATATAAATGGTGCATCAAGCTCCCAATATTTGATGTTGTTTGATGCTGACACAATTTTGTATTTGCACAGGGTACTGCATTAGGTCCTGATTGATGTATGCGAAGTTTTTCTTTTTTTGAAAAAGGTTTTAATATATAGTTTCGTCCGAATTTATGTATAGGTTCAGATTTACATACAGCTCCCATATATATATTTTTGTCCGATTTTATGTAAATGGTGCAGCGGGTATGACATTTAGTCCACAATGCTTTTTTTAAGCTCACATAAATACTTCAGTCCCATTTTATGTAAATAGATCCGGTTCTATTTGCACGATATTTTGCTGTTGAAAACGCTTCTGGTGTAGATATAGCTCTCACATATATGTTTGTTCAATTTTATGGAAATGGTGCAAATGGTGGAGCCACATATATATTTGTTCGCTTTGCATGAAATATTGCATATCGTGTTGTATTGAAAAATCGTTACAGGTTTTAGATATATATATATATATATATATACATATCGGCAATATTGCCAATTTTTTAATATTCCATTTTCAAAAAATCAGCTTTTTTGTTTTTGTTCCACATCAATGATTTTTGGTACACATACAGAGAAAAATCTTCTGACTCCGAAACCGTTCGCGATCAAATTTTTGGTTGATGCGCTCAAAAGTTATCGAGGTTTTAATTTTGGGCCAAAAACGTTGATATATATCTTCCTCCGTAAAATAAGAATATGAATATATTATAATAATCACGATAAAGTTGCACATATTCGAAAAATATGAGAAAAATAAAAAATATAGCAGATTACATCAATAATTTCATTGTATTAATGACATACACACACCTAAAAATTAATTTAAAAATATCTACACAATCTAAACACGATGGTGAATCAAATGATATCAAAATCACACAAGTCCGTGTAGCGGTTTCTAAATCAAATCGACAACAAAACAAGATATTGAGGAAAAATATTTGTTTTTGGTTCGAAAAAATAATGTCATCATATTTATTTTTTTAATTGTATTTTACCCGAATTTCACCGAAAAGTTGACATATATAATAATAATCCCTTTCAGTGTACAAGTATACGCCTTGCGGATTATATCAAAACCCTTCCGATAAATCTTAGAATTCTATAAATAGGAATAAATCTTAAAATAAAATAATATTATGAAATATACATTTTAAATTGCGTGTAAATCGCGTAATTCTCAAAATCATTTGATGCGCATGCGGTTCCCAGGAAGTACTGAAGTTTATCTTCCAATCCATATATATTTTGCGAAATTTCATTTGACGGCTAAGATGTGCCGCACGTTACATTTAAGTACCCAAATGTCATTAACGCGCATCCGATTTCGGTGTGCACCCTAAAAAAATACATCGATCTATACCATTTCAATGTGGTCCATTAAGAACCATGGATGTGCCAGCACAATCTATTTTTGAGATAAATTGCGTACATCTCTCTTTCGGCTGAAGTTTTTAAAGTTCTCTTTTCGAAAAAGATCAAAATCCGTATGAGGTCATTCATTGAAGCGGAAATGATCCACCGAAAACGCAAATAAATCCGCGATATTTTCAAAAACATTTTTTGGTAAATTTCGTGTTTTTGAAAGGCCAGTTCTAGTAGATGGATTTTCACGAAGAAGATTTTATATCATCCGAAACGAAAAAAACCTTATTGATCGCGGGTACCCATATCTTAGTCACAAATCGATAGAGAACATAAAAAAACTGGTTCGCCTCAACCTGTTTTTACACATTTTTTACATTAAAGTAGACACAGCTTCCACCAAAATAAAGTTTGGAGGTCAATATCATGAACAGTTTGCAACGACAGATCAATTAACCTAAAACTATTCACTTTTTTCATATACTTAAGTAGTTCCCGAGTTAAAAAATTGGCAATATTGCTCATATATATATTTTCATCCGATCCAAATAATAAGTTTGCTGATTAAGACGAATTAGAGTACAACGTTCCGAATTGAAGAACGTGTATTGGATTTTGTGGCGAGATACATTTTAGATAGTGCACTGTGCTACAGCATACCAAATGGTCGCTTGAATACGTCCAGATTTACATATAGCTCCCATACATAATTTTGCTTGACTTCATCCAAACGATTGATATTAAATTTTCTTAGAATTCAGAATGGTATGTGCATGGGTTGTTTGAATTTAGTTCAAATATCTATGCAGTTCACACAGATCATTTCATGCCATTCCATTTCAATGGTCCTCCAAAGGTGCTATGTATTAGGTTAGTGCGTATGAAATGTCGGATTCTCTTTACAGGCGGACGTTTGTCTCCCTGTTTTCGTTATACTTTTGTCTTTGGCATAACCTCATTCATAGTTGTATTGTTCATTGCCAGAGACTCTTTTCAGCAAAACAGGTTTTCTCGAAGGTTTTGCATTTTGTTATTACTTTAGAGTTTATTTGCCGATATGAATTCTGCCGACATTCGCATTATTTTCTTATATGAGTGCAAATTTGGTAATAGTGCTGCAAAAGCTGCACCAATCGTTTGAGGAGAATACGGTTAACGATCGGAAATTGCAGCGTTGGTTCGAAAATTTTCGGACTGGCGATTTTTCACTGCAAAATTAGCCGGGCGGTAAATCCAAAACATCTGTGAAGAATGATGACCTGAAGCCATATCCACGAGGGAACTTGCTATCACGATGAAAGTTGACCATACAACGATATTGAGATACCTTTCTGAGATTGGCAATGTTAAGAAGATGGACAAGTGGGTACCGCACGCACTGACATATATATGCACTAACCTAATATATTCTATCTACAGGATATTGTACATATTATCATCTCTTGTATTTACCCAAAGTAATCGGCCCGTCCGACTTTTGAACTTTTCTCATTGGGTAGAAAACGGACTGGAGCTATATCTAAATTTCATACTGGAGCTACATCTAAATTTGATACGATATGATACATTTAGATTTATACACAGTATTCTTAGCTCAAGGCACTATAAACAACACAAGATAGTACCCTCATAATCTTCTCTTTGTGTATATTTGCCTGGGACCATCGGCGGGAATTTGTAGAATATCGACCTTCACTTGTATGAAGTGTCATGTTTTTCATTAATTTCCTATTAATTTGGACATTCGTGACTACCTCGCAACAGTCCCGACAAAATATATAATATTTTATGCTGCAGCTTTATGTATATTCCTTGGCCCTTTACCATATTTATAAATAAACTTCCTGTCCACTTTAGGTATGCATTCCTGGAATTTGATTTGATTTTTTATACCCTACACAACTATGTTGTCAGGGTATTATAGCTTTGTGCAGCCCCAAGAGTTTGTAACGCCGCGAAATATTGGTCCTAGACCCACCTTTAAGTATACCGATCGTCATATCTCGACTAGCTGAATCGATCTAGACATGTGTGTCCGTCCGTCGTTCTGTCCGTCCGTCTGTGCATTA